CATGTGAAAGTAGCCCCCCTGAGACACAACATCGCGCAACTGCGAGCATAAAACGTTCGACCTAAAGCAAGAAAAACAATTGCAAAGTGGGGAAACTTACGCCTCGGGGCGGGGTCCTCCGAGCTGTTTGAATTCCTGCCAGACGGCAGAGTACGTATGCCGCCATAGTTAAAAACCGTGCGCTCTTTGCAACTCTGCGTCTTAGCCTGGCGGGGATCCTCAAATTTCGAAATGTAAGGGCTTGGAAAATGCATGTTCTCGCCGTTTTCGTGCTTTCTGATATGGATTTTCGGATTCAGCGTTGCGGATAACCCCAGATAAATTGATTTTTTAAAAGTCGAGTTTCTGCCCGGACACTGCCTTTAAACAGCCCAGCAAGATGGATGTCAGTCTTTGATGAGTCGGCTCCGCGGTACGTGGACAGCCGACTGCTGCCGCAACAAGCCCCCAAGGCTGCCGGCAAATCCGCTGCATGTGGTACAGTGATTACGTTCGTCGTCTGAAATTCTTGCCGAGAGGATCTTCCGCATCTCGCGCTGATGTGCGATATCGGCCAATAGCGTGATATTCTCCGTATTCATATCGATTTAGACAGCAAAAATTCGAACACAGTGAAAACCATGCAGTCGAATACAAAATTACACAAACGGAAAACTTCCAAAATGGCAAATCAGCGCGAGAGGTCCGAGAACACCTCTCGGCAAGGATTTTAGGTGACGAGAATGATTATTGTGCCATCCGCAGCGGCTTCGCCGGCAGCTCCGGCAGCTGGCTGCGGCAGCAGTCGGCTGCCCAGGTATCACTTGCTACGCACCCTTTTCGATCAAATTACCTGATCCCCATCAACCAAATAGGTTTATTTTTATTTTTCAGCACATAAGAATAGCCCTCAATTATTATCGGTTTGCTTCGGCTAGAGTTGGAGGCTAGTCACTTTCACTCTGGCAATGTTTTACTATTCACACTAGTATCGGAAAACTAATTTACAACCTTTACGAACTCGAAAATAAAACGCTGCGACAGTGAGTTTGTTCGCTTGTTTGACTTGACTATTGTGGGAAGTTCCATATACAACGTTATTTTTGAATTGCATGGAAAATCAATAATCAAACATTATGGGTTCTTCGTGCATGATTTATCCACTTTGAAATTCACAATATCAATCACAGTAAATTGCTCCAAGCTCGCATGAGGAGATTTCACAGAACATGCGTGCGTGCTTTGTTATATATACGAACATGTAAGCAGCTGCTTAGAATGAAAAACCCATCCTACAGTATGATAAAAGATTGTTAAAAGGTTTGCTTTTGGATTTTTGTCCACACATCTCAAAATGGCGCTTTGCAGTTGTGCGACTATGCATGCGAGAATGGAGTATGTGCATGCACAAAATGCGCGTACGACAAGGAATATTTCCAGTTTTGAGATCCTTGCATGTATGTTATTTCAAAATAAACGTTTGCAAATCAAAAGCTTAGCCTAGCCGGCTCACTTTGTCAACCGTGATGACTAATTTTTCCAGGTAATAGTTCAGATAAATTGCCGATTTTGGGTGTTCTTTGCTGTGTCTCATCAAAAAATAAACGCATAAAGAAACAGAATGCAGATATTGATATGTAGATGGGCTCTGCGCTAAACTGCTAAATGCTAAACAAAGGAAAACCTAGAACAACAACTTTTAGCCTACCACTGAAACAAACTTCAACCACAGGTCCAAGTTAGCATTTCATATACAGTGTTCTACTAAATTTCGTCTTATGTTCTTTTGAGATGTAGCAGATAGGATTGTCAGATTTGATATTAGCGTTTTAGCAGTGAATAGCACGTAGATAGTCACAGGTGATGACGAACACTTCTAACCATCCCCTCAAAGCTTATCACTCAATGATCGTAATATGATCAGCCTAAAATTCCCGTACATTTCGTCCAATATCGAATAGACCAAACATCACAGGAAAGCATTGTTAGTTAATAGTGAGGATTACAAATAGTAAGTTGAGGCGTCTCCTGTTACTGATTGAATCAGTAAAGAAGGGAGGGTCAGCACAGAAGTACTTTCTTCCAATTGCCTGTTATTTTTTCACCTGGTAAAGGAATCTTGCAGTTTGCATTGTTAGGACATTTTCCAGTGTAAGCTGAAAGAATCAAGAGAAACTTGAGAAACTAGCGTTTGCCACCTCCTTTATTTTTCAATGAATGTCTTTTATTTTTCATGGGATGGACTTTCTATTCGAAACTTATTATCCTTTTTTTTGTTGATGCAATTACAGCTGCATTTGAACAGCTCCCCTATCAGGTGCTTTAAAAGCATTATTTCACTTTTACGCAAAGGTATACTTTGTCCAAACACTCACAACTTGTTTAAAAACGATAGTTACTTAGCAAAGTTTCAGTGAGTGATTATTTAGACATGGGATTATCTAACTCTTTCTATGGACTTCGTGACAGACAGGCTTATACACATACACGCGCAAAAAACAGACTTCTTAGCGCTTAATTATAAGTCGTTATTTTTTCTATTTTGAAGACTTCAAAAAATTCTGTTTATTTTTTTTTGGGGGGGGGGGGGAGGCAAGGCTGATGTAACATTCGGTAGACGGCAGGCTCTACGGGTGCTTTTGAACATCCAACGAGGAATGTTCAATCCTGAAGTTTTGAGCCAAAATATTTTAAAAAATGTACCTCCAATAAACCTGCCGATTTTTGACTTGCTTACACATATTGTTCTCACATAAGATATTTATTAGGTTGGCACCTAAGCTTTGCAATTTGTTCCATGACTTTTTCTATTCAAATACGGCTCACACATCCTTTGGCATTGAATCCAAATAACAGATGCAATAGTCACCGAAATCTGCCGCGTTTGAGGGTTACGGTAAGTATAAGGGCAATTTATACATTAACAAAAATATAAATTGTCATATGTTCGGAAGAAATTTGGTCTAGGGGATTGTTTGACATGCTTTTGATGAAAATGTAATTTCGCATGGTAGGCGTGGATTTCTTGTAAAGTTATAAAGAATCCGTAATACGATTTTTTGCCCCGAGTGGTTGAATATGGTCTTCGTGCGCATTAAGTCAGGTTATTCCAACATGCAAAGTCCCGGCAAAACCTGACGTTCCGACTCTTTGGCATTGGCGGCTCTCCAGAATAGCATTTTTTTCTGTGGCTCATTTCACTCGTTCTACCTTTCAAGGGCAAGTCGACTTGTCTTCCATTGTTCGTTCTTGGCTGAGCTTATTAGTAAGTCTTAAAGTCTAATAATCATCTTAAGCTAACTTTGCTCAAGTTTTGTTTCGATTTACTCGATATAGGTTGTGCAAATCATTTTTGCTACAAATCGTGGGACCTCGAATTCAACCGATCTCCATACGTGTAGGTTTGTTCCACTTTGTTACCCAAAAAATTTGAACGCTCAAGTCGACTGCACAAAATCGCCCTTAGCGAAGTTCAAGTCTGTCACTGATGATTATAACAATACACAGCCCTCTCATATTCTGATCCTTGGTTCTTCTTTGCTGAATGTTTTCGTCTCTCTTGACCATTTGATTAGTATACTACTTTGCTTTGAGAACATCATTAGGGTACAAAAAACCAATCTGAAAGCTTATTTACCAATTTATTGAGCTTACATACGATGCAAACAAGTTGTCTCGCAGCTAATTCGATCTTATCGTGCTCAGAAACAGCATATTTGCACTGCGCTTTGCCTACAAAATTTATTCGTCGTGAAAATTCTAAGCAAACAAAGCGGCTGCAGCTTATCCCGAGAATCGTTCATAACTCCCTCTTTAAAAGTGCTCTGCAGATAGGGAGGACAGATTTGGAATCAGCTTTCCAAGCTCTCCGTAACGGTATGCATCTTGTGCTGATCGACCGCTTCGAGTTCGTGACGACCCTTGTAAGGTTATCTTTGCCTACAGTATACGATACCGGTTTACAGTGTCAGATCACCATACCTGACCAGGATTACTGAATCAAGTGTCTGGTGCAGTGCGCCAAAATCTCATGAAATTTGAAAGTGGATTATATAGTCAGAAATATGCTGTAAAGGTGATGGTAAAGTTCTCAGCTGTTATGGCGAATACAGTATTATGTATCATAGATATTTACAGTACTGTAACTGGATGTATCTACTGCATGATGATTCCGTTGAATGACTAAGCTGACGGTCGTTTCCGGCACAAAAGATATTAGACGAACTGACTTTAGTACATTTTTCCTAAAGATGGCGATGCTGTTCCGCCCGTTTAGATGTCATGCCCCTATCGACAAGTTGTTTGCTATTTGACGCGACGCAAATTGTTCATAGAGCGTACATTGCTTTCGCTTACGAATTAATGTTGTATTTGCTGCAACTAGATCATATCATGATAGTTAGGCAATAGCTTAGTTGAGGGAGAACTGCGCACAGACTTGCCTGGATACGGCCGAGTTAACAAATCCGTCATAGACACAGTCCACCCTATGGTCTCTTGAGCTTTTGGCACCTTACGATAGAAGGACCCTCAATCAACCCAAAGACCGAGAGTCTACGCAAAATATCGCTTTGAGAGCGAAAATTTACTACGGAATAACAAAGAGGCACAAAGGCCCCTGGGTGGCACCGCCCCCTCCAGTACTGCCGGCCCATTCGTGCGCGCCCATCGAATCACCGTTCCCCCACGAGAACAGGCCTGGTCTGAGAGTTCTCCGAAATGGGGACTGTCGGATTCGGAATCAGGGGCAGGAGGGACCCCGGAGCGACTAAAATTAAAAGTTGGTCTGGGTGGACAGTGCCTTTAACATGAGTACATTAACAATTAATGCAATTCCTAATACCTTTGCTTTGTTTGGATATCTTATAAGGACGTGTGCCATACCATACCGTCAGACGTCAGCTTCAAAATTTGAACCTGTGGAGTATTATATATCTGTTCATGGGTAGTGTTACATAAACCCTTTCCAAAGGACTATGTTACTGTACCACAGACATTCCTCAGTCACAAATATTCTTGGTGCCCAAACAAAATATTTTTCAACGCTCATTTCCTCTCTTTATAACTTTACAACGGCTCAATCAAAGCGAACGAAAGGACTATCCATCACTTCCTGCATCCATGGCTGAAATAAAAAATTGATTGGCTGTTCCTCCTTTTTTATAAATTTTGAGTTTACCGCGTTTTCGTCTGCAAGTTCTTTATTGATTTGTTCCATAAATGGAGCTGCCCGTTTAGCAAACTCTTTTTCTGCTTCACTACCCGGTTTTGGAATAAACTTAAGGTAACCGTACACGGTTTTGAAATGCTAAATGATGATACAAATATTTTTTCATCATATTATAGATTTCTTCGTTTGAACCCATACCTTTTCACCTTCTGCTTTCCTTTTCTCTATCCAAGCTTTACCATTCTCATCAAGCTGAAAAAATATTAGGTAATTCTACCGTGATCAGTGGAGAGGTATCCGTTATCTTTTTAGCATAGACAAAGTTACAACTGCCAATGTGTTCTGTCATTCAAATAGGGGTTACGTTGGACTTTGATTTTACAAGGCACGACTAGAATTATTCCTCGATCTACAGTATTATTCGAATATGGGACCTTCACGAGCTCGTACATTGTTTTTCATTATGGAATTCAAACACAAAATTATGCTTTGATGTTGGCTCACTTGTACTACATACAAGTACAACACAATAATTACAATACATATAAGTTCTGCTACCTACTTTAGCTCAGTATCTCAATTTGGGGTTTTCTGGTACTTCTTCCATGGGGTCGAAAATATCAAATGTTTTGTCAAGTAAAAGAGTGTATAGAGATATTTGTGCGCAAAAGTGACTCCTTTGACTAAAACAGTAGTTGACATTGATTTTCTGGTGGTTAAAGTCAGTTCAGTTATGTAACCATCTTTTCAAACAAATCACCGGAACTTCCGCAGAACAAGCCGAATTTGCAGAAGTTACGCAGGATTTTGTTCACTATAACAAAATGAAAACGTTAAAAATCGGAACTTCTGCGGGATTTTTATGCTAAACTGATTGAAAACCGGAACTTTTGCAGAACCTCCGTCAAAATCCTGCGGAAATTCCGAAAATGCCGAAGGTTCCGCAGCACTTTGGCCTGCCAGAACTTCCGCAGGACTTTGAATGTGTTGTCTCGTGAGGTTGCCTCGTTAACAACTAGAGTGCATTATAACATGTCAGCCGTAGCGTAGAGGATAGTAGATGGGTCTTACAGTCATTAGAGTGAGGTTCAAATCTCGCTTCGGTGTTCTCTTTTGCTGTTGTGGTTGGCATTCTTCGGAATTTCCGCAGAACCTCATATCGGAACTTCCGCAGCACGTTTACGGAACTTCCGGAGGTGACCCGGTGGAACTTTCGCAAGCGCTCTGCGGAAGTTCCGGTTTGTCTGAGTTTTTGATTTGCGAACAATCTTCCAAAACTACAGTATGTGACAGTAGTAGCACGGAAAGGCGGCAAAGAGGTAAAGGGAGCTTTTCTGTTGTCTTATATGTATTCGGGAGGGCAGATTTATGATAGTATTTGTTCTTTTCTATTTGACGCACGCCCTTCAAACTCACCAAGAAAACGGTAGCATAGAACGGTAGACAAACTTCGGTTATATCATTAAATTGTAACATTTTTTAGATAAAAATGACATACAGAAAGCACCGCACTCCTTTTCTGATTTGTGCCCGTGCCCGAACCCTGTTTCTTAGTTATATTCAACTTTGAAAGATCAGTCCATCCACCTGGTGGTTCCTCATCATCCCATTGTATTCTCTGCAAAGAATATTTCTTTTTTCATCCCCCTATCTCTTTGCCTACACAGCTATAGAGTCTTCAGAACGGGGTCGATCATGGAGATTCTTTTGATTAACGTCTCGTACGCATCGCGCAGAACTCTAGCGTGATAGAAGCATGAATATTTTTTAGGCACAAATCAATCTTTTTTCCAAAGTTTTCATATTATGGATTAAATTTATGATTTGTACAGGGTGTCCCAAAATGTGCCTACTGTTTAATTTTTAATGACTCTCTTGTCATAAAGTCTTTGAAAACGCTTCAGATATCTACCAGTTTGTAAAGCTGGCTTCTTTTAGGTTTGGTTTTGAGCTAAGAAAGGCCATATTTTACCTCAGAAAGAAAATAAAGCGACTAAAAACTCTTACTCTAGGCTGAATACAGTTGCTAATTCTTATTATGAAATTTGCATTTCATCATAAAGGTTCTGTAAAAAAGTTATGTCACTTAAGCAGTGGCAGCCGTTATTTTCATGTTTTGAAAAATGTGTTTACACAGTTTGAAAGCCTCAAGAGCTTGTAAAAGTTGAGTATATAACTCACAGTCTCTGTGGACCCTATTACATAAGTTTTTGAATTTTATTTAGAATTACTTAAAACGGCAGCTTTCTTACTGTGACGCTATATGCCAAAATTTCATACCGTAAGCTACTGTAATGAAGGGCGATATGTGATTTGGTCCATACTGTAAACCTAATTTGAAGCCCTTTCCACAAAATGGTACCTAAGCTTTTCGAAAGACTTTATGACAAGAGAAGTATTAATCAAACAGTAGGTATATTTTTTGCGATACCCTGTATTTAATTACTCCTTTGCCTTCATAGGCGTTCTGCAAGAAAGTCCCCTTAATTCTTCAGTTTTTTGAAGAACTACTTGGAAAATTATTCGTACATTCTTAGGCTTATTGATGAGCTTTGCTCACCATTCTGTAACGATGTAATGAAAATTTCGCAGTTGGATTTTGAACTTAGGCCAGCTTAAGAACTTTCTTTCATTGTTTTATGTGGTAAAAAACCCGCTCAGGGTTTCTATTAGAAAACACAATTGTACACTACCTTGAATCAGAATTAAATCGCTTCTTGGTTCCTTGGTTTTCAACACGTTTAGCTCCCTTTTTTGTGGGCTTCTCGCTTATGAGTCCAAAACCGCAAGTCAAAACTTGTGAAAGTATCGATATTTCTCTCTTTTTTCATGGAAAATGCTTGAGAACATCCAGGGAAATCTGGCACGTGGTCTCATGTAAAGAGTGATTAAAGGGCCTCGGAGGGCCCTAATTAAATCGACGTCCTAATGGCGCGAATGATTCGTTCACAGAAAAGGCATTTTTCCTTAGTTGTCTTCAGCACAGCATTTAGCAACGATTTACATCGAGTAGAGGAATAAATACCTTAGGCGCTGCTTCTGCGTACTGCTAAGACGCGGCCCCTTCGTCTACAATTATATAGGGAGAGTAGTCCGGGTGGAGCCTAATTATAGTATTCGTTCCTCTAACTATCTGCATTGGGTTGCATGATTATGTGCGAGGGCGCATCACAAGGACAGTGGGTCCCCGGCCGAAAGCATGCAAGCCGTTGCATTGGCTCCAATGGTAAAAGACGCTTGAGCGCTGCCTTTACATCTTTTTCGAAGTTTAAAGCATTTGCTTTAGGATTACCAATGTCTGTGGTTTTTTCCAGTTTCTAACAATGACAAATGATCATGACTTATAATAAGCGGCTTAATCTGAAGTTGTGTGAAGTTTGTCCGTTACGAAATTACAGTGAGCAATGATTTACGATACTAAACATCATGTGAGGTTAAGATAGCGAGTATGGTTCATTTTTAACTACGGCTCACTTTGCAATAAACCGAACAATGATTTGAGAACAAGCTCTCAGAAAGTGAGTTTACCACGGTTCTTCACGATGCCAGTGCGAACCTCTGCGAAGCAGAGGTGAAGCACTGGTAAATGATAAATTCTAAAACCTCAACAATCTTTCAAGGCTGAAAAGTGCCAAGTTTGAGTTTGTTGTTGTTTCGAATGTAACAGGAGGAAAGTTTACATTAGTCAAACTTCCCTTTGCGAGACATGTGCTTAGTTTCAACAAGGGATCCCCATGATCGAACCCGCAGGAAGCTATTAAACATACCTCCCTTAGGTGGGCTTGAAAGGCAGCCATCTTTTCCTGATCTACCATTGTTCTATTAATAGTTGCTTTCTCCTTTGATAGTAGCTTTTCAATCAACTTCCAAACACTAGTCAACCCTCTTACCCTGATGATCGTATAAACGTGGACTACTCCAGTTGGAGAATAAGCAGCAATTTGTCTGTTGTGCGCAGCGGGCCATCTTACAACAGGAGTTGACACTAGTGCAGTTGGTTTTGGTGGCACTTCATCTCCGCACAGCACCAGTTGTGTAGCCTTAACATATATCATCGTTTGAATAAGTGAGTGTTTATGCCATAAACAACGAAAGGAGTCAAATTTTGCAAAAAATCGATAAAATCGATAAAAGTGATGCACGGTTTCGAAAACTAATATTGTATTCGTAATCAGCATGCTCGATTACACCCCTCTGCCAACTCCCAGCCCCGTAGCTCAAATTTTGCAAAAAATCGATAAAATCGACATCGATCGATAACGAAAAGTGGACTGTGACACCCGCCGGGGCCCGAAGGGTATGTGTGCCAAGTTTGGTCCGGATCGGTTAAGAAATGGAATTTTCTATTCGGAACACACGGCGGAGCCGGGTAAGCCAGCTAGTCTTATATATAAAGCTGAATGTCTGTTTGTCTGTATGTCTGTATGTCTGTCTGCATGTATGTATGTACGTATGTTCCGAATAGAAAATTCCATTTCTGAACCGATCGGGACCAAACTTGGCACACATACACTTCGGGCCCCGGCGGGTGTCATAGGCTACTTTTCGTATCGATCGATATCGATTTTATCGATTTTTTGCAAAATTTGAGCTACGGGGCTGGGAGTTGGCACAGGGGGGTAAGTGAGCATGGGGATTCCGAATACAATATTAGTTTTTAAAATCGTGCATTACTTTTATCGATTTTATCGATTTTTTTGTAAAGTTTGAGCTACGGGGCTGGGGTTTGGCACAGGGGGGTAATCGAGCATGCTGATCATCCCCGTGGGGGTGGTGAGCATGCTCGATTACACCCCCCCCCCCCCCTGCCAAATTCCAGCCCCTAGCTCAAATTTTGCAAAAAAATCGATAAAATCGATAAAAGTAATGCACGGTTTCGAAAACTAATATTGTATTCGTAATCAGCATGCTCGATTACCCCCCTGTGCCAAATCCCAGCCCCCTACCTCAAATTTTGCAAAAAATCGATAAAATCGACATCAATCGATAACGAAAAGTGGACTGTGACACCCGCCGGGGCCCGAAGTGTACGTGTGCCAAGTGTGGTTCGGATCGGTTAAGAAATGGAATTTTCTATTCGGAACATACGGCGGAGCCGGGTATGCCAGCTAGTTCTATATGGGTGGGGGAACGAAAGCCGCCAGGTCCAGCCGCCTCCGCGGACTGCTGGTCCTGGAACGACATGCAACAACGCTGCGTAAGGACCAGCTGGCCGCGAAAGGCGGCTGGACCTGGCGGCTTTCGTTCCCCCGCCCGTTCTATATAAGCGCAAATTCAGAAAGCATCACTCAAGCTTGAATCTGTAGTGCTACTCGTTTTCATAATAAGACTTTTCTGCGATGCTGGTTGGTACATGAGAACTACCTGAGTCTCAAATGAAACTATGCTTTGAAATTTACTTGGCACGCTTATCGCGATTAGCACGAATGCTAGAGTTAAGATGACTCACTCAGTATCAAGGTGATACCTCATACCGTACATCCGTACCATTCCCCAAACCGCCCTGCCATACAGCGTTCACTTCTAAAACCGATATGTCTAGCCCCAAGACCATATTCAGGCAAATATGTTAGACTAACTCCCTACCATGCGCCTACCATACCCCTCAAGAATTCCGTGCGAATGTCATCTCATGCAATCTCAACGCAGTTTCGCACCGTTCTTGCTTAATGTAATGTGTGCTGACTTTGCCTTCAGCATAGCCTACCAGCCTATTATAACTATTTATCGCAAGCAGAGACCGCCGTTGCGCCGCTTAAGATAGTTCGTACTTCGGAGAGACATCAGATGGTTAGAATAATGTGAGTGCGGTTGATTTGAAGTTGACAGCGTTCGCGCTGGCGTGCGATGAATCGTCTATAAATGGCATTGTCCAAATTCTGAAGAGCCTTTCCCAGATTCAAGGAGCACTTTCATCGCTTGAGCTTCAGCATGTTGCCATAGCAGCACGTAAGCAGTACAGCAGGCATAATCATTTCGAAGTCTCAGAAAACTAGGTTTTCCTTTGTTTCAAAGAGGCCTAATGATATATGGCTAAAAAATCTTTGTTGGTCCATAGTGTCGCTATAGTGAAATTCCGCACTCTAATGTGGTTTCTCAAGAGTCAGTTATATCTTTTTTACAAGAGCACTTTGTCAAGCAATGGACTGTCAGAAGCGAAACGATGGATTGGCTTATTCAAATAGCTATCGAGTGAGCATTGTGAGTTCTTTCAGTATCAGAGCAAGATTTGAAAAACTGATGTTTCAGAAAGCGGCGTCAGCAATTCGAGCCTGAGAGAGCTCTCTTTTTCCCGTCGGAGGTACTATTTCGCTTAATGTGGGAATCTCAAAAAAAGGGGACAATTTCTAAAATGCGTGTTATGACAGGTGATAACAGCCGATGAAAGTGGCTAAAGATACAATCGAAAGCGGTCAAGCATTTGCTTTCTGTGCTCAGCGTCTTTTCGGATTCAACTTACCGAAAATTCGTGCGCTCATTCCCTTTTTCTGTGATACCTTAGAACAAGAGAGCATCTGTAGGATTCTAGTGCAAATGTCTTTTCTATTTTGATATGCAAATTTTGGCGTTTCTTACGATGATGTTTGCTGTTTTTAAGTAGATGCGAAGCTTGAGACACAAACCATGTGCTCAAGGTCATGACATAGTGATGTCTCCTGTAAGACTTCTGGTTTTGATCGAAGTTGGAAAGGGCACTTATTTTCCCCCGCAGTTGTGTCCTTTTACAATTACAAGTGTCCCCATTTATTTCTGACAACGGCAAGAGTTGCGCGAACATTCTGGGCAGTTACCTCATTTTCTCCTGCATAAGTTGAGGATGAGTTCCATTTGGCTTCGGCCATATATTAGCAAAATTAGCCGTGTTACCAGTGTTACTGCGCTACCCCTTTTTCCGTGTTACTAGTGTTACCAATGTTACGCGTGTCACAAGTATCATCGGTGTTAGTAGTGTTACTACTATTTACAAAACTATTTACAAAGGAGTGTCGCGAAGTTAAAGTGGCCAGAGGTGCATACCGTTACAAAGAATGGCACTGATTTCAAACCTGCCTCGCATCTGTGGAACGCTTTCAGGAAGTTGTGGGCGTTTCTTGTCATCAAAATTTGAATAGTTTTGTGTGACTACAAATGATGGAAACTGCTCAGATCATTTCCGCTCTAGAATATCATTCATAAAGGATCAGCAACACATTAAAGGCAACGTCCCACCTAAATGAGGGTTGCCGGGCTTTGTAGCGGTACCATAGTAGACCCCCTACTTGAGCGATGGCCGAAGTCCGGAGCGAAAAGGAGGTCTACTAAGCCTAAAGTTGCTTCGAAAGTGGCCCAAATCTTACGGTAGGCCCGGACGCCGTCCACAAAGCAATTTCGAACTGCAAGGCCAGAGTGCGTATAGCGTACACAGTCATGAACGCAGATCCCGCAACGACTCTGCGTCTCTACCATGAACGCACCTCGCACTCGCCCGAGCCCAGCGTAAGATCCGGACCACTTGGAGGGGGGCAATTTGTAGGCTTCGTAGACCCCTTTCGTGCTGCAAACTTCTGTCATCGCTTAGTTAGGGGGTCTACTATTACATTACTACCAGAGCCAGGTACCCTCAGTCGCTGCTTTCAAGCATGGATAAACATTTCCAAGCATTGTGCCCAAAACGCATTGCGGATTCGCGACTTCTTTCAAAGGAGTTCACCGTGCGCTGCAAAGGTTCTTAAAACGTCGTCCTCGCGCTGTTCCGTCTTCCCAGCTATACATACCGCAGCTTTCTAACCTGTCACGTAGTCATCACAGTGCCAACTTGTGAGCGATCGCGTTCAACTTCCATTTTCAATCATGGATCGAGCAGCACCTTCCCCCAACTCGCGCTTGCTTCAACATCAACCATCCCATGGAGGACTGGCCATCGCCCAGACGAGGGTAACCCGTGATGCGCTCGCGCCTGACACATGTCGGGAACGCCGCCGTGGGGGTGATTGTAACATCTGTTCAGTTGTCTCTTCCTTTTGTTTGAGTACACGGATTTTATGCGGATAAATGGTGGGCATTTAGTACTTGCGTTATTGATCGATGTGGTGAGCCACATCGAGCTCGGAGAGCGATCGATCGGCATGAAGGCTGGATCGATACTAGTTGAGTGCTCAAATTGTAAGGGCAAGTCTCAAGTGTCGAAAGCTGGGACAAGCGTCAACTCGCATGTGCCGTGACAACTGCTAGGTAGGCTGGCTGCAAGGGCCTCTGTGTGCATGGCGTTGTAGTGTGGCAGACCCTCAGCATTTTCACAGGTATCGCCACTCCTAGTGGGTTGGACTGTTTCACGGAAAGGACCCCGGCTCTTACCGCCAATGAGGAGAGCTCTACCACCACTGAAGTTGGGAGCTGGGGCCCTATCTCCGCGACAAAATGCTTAAGTGGATAACTTTAGCTTCAGCCTTGCTTCCGCATATGAACTTCGTAACTTTTTCCCCGGAAGCGTTCCGCAGATAAAAAGAGCAAATTTAAAAACTCTCCAAGCTCTTCGGCAATATTGTAGTGATCTGCCACTTCGACACTGTGACCCTTCCTTGTGAGACAAATATACAGGGTGTGCCACGATTATTTGCGCGTGTATCATTAAGCGCCATACGAACATAAGACCGGCTCAGCCAGCGGTCAAGCTTGATATCGTTTTCTTGCTTCTACAACATTGGTATCCTAGTTGAAAGAAATAAAATTGCCTTATTTGCTTTTCGGCAAAAATTCGTAAGATATCTCTAACTTTGTCGCGTACTGCACGTGGGTAGAGGCCCACAAACTTGTCCAGTATGTATTAGGTTGGCACGAAAGTTCTGTCGCACCATTTTCAAAAATTCATAACTTCTAATTTTTCCAACCGATTTGAATGTTTTATATGAGTATGAAAGACCAGCCGCTCACTGCCGCTACGCGGCAGGTGCGGCTGGCACTCGGCACTTCGCTGCCTCGTACACTTTTCATAACTGGGTCCTGGAAAACTTTTTAGTGCACTTGCCATCACGCATACACGGTGATTCCGGGTTATGGATTC